GGAGATATTGTAGCGACTGAAGAGGTTTTCACTATGCAGAAGAGGTTTTGTAAGATTACTTCATGTCTTTTTATTCAGATGATATTGCTGGGCTTCGCTGTCTGGTTTTTTTCCTCACAGACCCCCCATCAAGGGGTGGCTGTACCCACCTGAGTCTGTGATTAGTAATGCCCTTTTTTTTTTTTTTGTGTATTCTCAACCTCTTTAGGCAAATATTTGAATGTTATATTTTATCTTTTTTCATGTAGAACCTTTTTCTTCCCTCCTTTCTCTCTATGTTTTTCTTTTTGTAACAATGTTGTAATTTTTTTGTCTTTTTTCTAGGAACAAAAGCATCCCAAAATTATAAATTTTATATAAATGCCCGTAGCTTTTTCTACCTTCCCAAGCTGAATATTTTCGAGTTCAATTTGGTTACCCTGTTGGATGTTGTGTTATTGGAAATTGAAGGAACACTGAATCAATTGTAACTGAGATTATTTAAAGTTCTTTGGTACTACAGGAAATGGTTTAATTAGTTTGCAGGTGTCATGTGTGTTTTTGACAGGAGATGGTTTAAGTTAGAGTCATTGTCATTATTGGTGCTAATGATGCGTTTAAGCCGCCGTAGTTGGTCACAACAATGTTTGGTCAAAGCTGTGGTTGCTCTCCCTTGGTTTTGCTTGCGAAAAGAATTGACTAGGCTGTTGATAAAAGTATGTTACTTTCATGCATGTGGGTATATTTTCTAAATCTAGTGGAAGCCTGGAAGGACAATATATAAACTCTGGTCCTCAGTCCATGTTGTGTTACTCATAACTTATGCGCCAAGACAAAGAAAGGCTGGAATACATATAATGTGATATGCTAAGAATTTTTTATCTTCCAATTTCTAAACTCAAGATGATTAAACTATGCCCAATAGCCCGGACTTTTAAAAGGTCAGCAGGGAAAATTTGATGGATGTTTACAATAATTACTGTCTTACGAGCAATGCTACTCTCAGTCGAACATGATGCATTGCAAGTCATTGATCACCATGCGATACACTATCGGGTTCACGCACATCAACGGCTTAAAATACACCGCCGCACGTGACAGACAGAGAACATTTTTCCTCGTCATATCTCAAAAATGTTATTTTATTAGACTTTGAATCAAATTCTTAGTTACTAGGATCATCATTTTTAGTCCTCAAATGAGGCGGCCCAATACTGCACCATGTCACCATGACCATCTCACTGGACTCTACTTATTAATAATTTTAGTAGAGACAATGGTACTCCAAATATAAATATATGAATTTTAGTATTTTAAGGCAGTGTACACGACCAGACACAGAAGTTCAAAGTCAAGGTTTTGTTAGATTGGCTGACCAGACGGCTAATTTGGAGTTGAAGCCTTGAATGGCGTGAATGGCGAGGATGAGTACAAAAGTACAAAAAACTATGACGCGTATTATTGCGTTTGCTTTAAGATTTACTAATTTCCAAGGACACAAATCCCCTAATTGATCAATTGTACTTTACCCTAGGAGCCTAGGAGCCTAGTAGGAGAATTTACTCCAGCATGACGGCATCCAACTCCTTTGCTCGTTCCCTTTCCCATTTCTCATTCCGAATAAAGTTTTGGAATGGAGCGGTTTGATCGCGTTAACCATGCGATTGCTCTCACAAAAAAGGGAGACCACTTGTCCTAGTGTCCACTCCGTCCCACGATGATTCTGCCTCTAATGCGTGAATTCGCTCTCCTGTGAGAATAGTTGCACATGTGATCGGACTGCTTCACTCAAGAATTTCTCCACATACTGAGTAGTAAGTACGGTTAGAAAATCATTTATAACAGTTATATTGTTAAAGAAATAAATAATAATGTATATTAAGCTAACATTAGCTCTCACAAATAACTTATGGCATGTTTAGTATCCTACTTGGATTCAATTTTATAAACTCAGAAACAGGTTTTTAAGTCCAAAGTGACAAAACCTGTTTAGTAGGCCCATTTTTAAAAACTCAAAAACACTTCCATTATTAAAAACAAAAAAGGTGAGATTTTATAGCGTCTCTATCTCTCTCTCTCTCTCTCTCTCTCCTTTTCTTTTGTAATTTGAATTTGGAAATCTAGGGTTTTTTATTTTCTAATTTGAATTTGAATTTGGGAATCTAGGGTTTCTGATTTTCTGATTTTGATTTCAATTTTTTTAAATCTTAAAAATAGTTTGGAGATCAATACCAAACAAGTTTTTAGATATTTGAATTTACTTTTTTGAGTAGAATACTAAACATGGCCTTATTTTTCATTTTGCAAACTAACAAAGAACATGAGATTTTGAATGTAGCGCACCTATTGCAAAACTCACCCATACTATTATGTTGGATAATCACGGACCCTCAAAATTTAAGTTTGTAGAGAATAGATGAATAATTTTTTTTATACAAGCGATATTGAGGAATTAGGGAATCGAATGTAATACATCGGATGCATAAGTAAATGCTCTTAGAACCCAAGAAGAAATAATTTCAAGCCATTTATATATGTCAATCGATTGGCAAAGAAAAATAGAAATTTTTGTGTCGATTGTGAAGTTGAATATTGTTTCATTCATTATTATGAATGCCCATGTTGTAAATGGCATAAGATTTTAAATTTGGATTCAAAGTTTTATCAGATACAATGTATGATGACTTATTGATCACAGATATTATACATTCACCAATACAATATGCACGACCTAATAAATGACATAAGATTGTAAATCTGAATTTAACATGCATATGTTTATGTACGTTATTAACCACATTACTAATTACATCTCTCACATAAGTAGCCCGTGCACTATACGTTTATGAGAGGTACGTTGCTTATATTATAATAATAACTAGTCATGCTACGAGACATACGTTTTATGAACAATTTATCCTATGAAAGACGTGGTTCATAATCTTGTCACTAAATGTAGTACATAAACCATTACTTAAAGAGAGAGTTTCTGTATCCATATATAATCGAGCACAACATGTGCTAATTTCTTAAACGTGCAAGTGCTAGAGCTGCATAAACAACTACTACTATTTGACTTTTAAGCTGAAATTGTAAATGTTCCAAAATGAATTATTTTCTATTAATTTCTTGTAAAAACCCATTTAAAGATATGAAAACAGAACACCACCAACCCTCTGTTCTGTACATGAATATCAGAATCAGATTGCGGATAAAGTGAGACAAGTACAAGAATCCCACCAAAAGAAGGAAATGTATATAAAAAGAACCATGTGCAAGAAACAGAATTTTAGCATTAATTAGAAAATATTTTAATCAATAATTAATCCAAACTAATATAATATATATTTGTATCCTAGGACCAATGACATAAAGACACGAAAGCAAGCTAGAGTTGGCCCCCATATATATTATGGTACATGGGTATTGTTTGGCAGTTAAGAAAATGGCGTGAGAAAGGTGGCAATGGATATGAAAGTCAAATGATTTTGTATAGAAAGTTTGAGGTCACGAGAATTTGTCAAGAAAACAGTTGAGCCATAGCCCCCTTTTTCTTCTATATGCTAAATGTAAATGCTAAGGCATCCTACCCCTCACAGACTCACAGTCCCAGTCTTCCCCCGCTATCATTACATTACAACATAAATAAGTGCCTTTCCTAATCTGACCATATTTACTGATCATATTGTATCTGTTATAAAATGTAACTTATGTGAAACCCGTGTGAGATTTGTCTATGTAAATGAACATATACTTGCACGCATGTTTCAAACTCGAGTGCAATGGGGCGGACGTATTATTTTGACCAACTAATCTTACCTATATTTACAAGTGCAAAATATTTAGACAAGTGAGTTTCGTTTCTACGAGAAGTGTGGTAAGCAAATGAGAGAAAAGTAGTTTTACTAATGTGAAAATACATGTTAGCATAACATTTCATTTGTGTCAATGAGGTGCTTTTAGATTTTGACATATTTATACATGTATATGTACTCATACACATACGCAAGTAATATACATGACTCTAGACACTTTGGTTTCTTTGTCATATTCTTTTGCTGACCTGGTCACAATGAACTCACATAAAGTGAGAATAGATGCTATAAAGCTCAAGCTGGAGAGGAATTAACAATTGTGTGTTTTAAAAAATAGGCTACTCATGTTTTGCAATTAAATTATATGATGATGTGGAAAAAATAAAATAAAAAAATTATACATCTCTATCAGTACACCAGGACCTTTTCAAAACTGACCCCACAAGTAGTTCATGTGGAAGATACACCAAGTTCCCAAACTCTCACAAGTTGCTTTTGGAGACTTGGATGCTTCTCTTGGTTTCTCTCAAAGAAAACTTTATGTGTATATATATATTGAGCAAGAGAAAAAGACTGGCTCTTCTTGCAAACAAGGTTAATGGGTGAAAGCTCCTATTGGGAAGAAGAGAAGTCTCTTGACTTTTAGAAAAAAAATGGCTACCTGTTATGGACCTCCACTACATACTCAGTGCTATGTTATTAGCCTCACATCACAAATAAACAAATGATAATCAAATGCACACACACATAATCCGTAAGAAAATTAGATTTGAGATATGATTATAACAAGAAAATTAATGAAAGAAAAAGTAGAGAAATTAATGTGACCAAAAAGGAAGACTGTATATATGCAGAATTGCAGAATCTTTACATGATCTCCATCCCAGAGTAAAAACACTAGGACCATTTGGAAACCTCCTTCACTAAAGCAAAAACCCTTGAGCACCATCATTCATGCTTTACATGAAGAAAATTAGCATAAAAAGACAAGGAGCCTATGACCCCACCTTGAGCAATGTGGAAACAACATAGGGTTTCTAATGCAAGTGCCTTTCACTGCTGCAAAAACTAGACTACCAGACAAAACTAACTCGACTATCAGAAAACCAAAAACAGAGCTGCTACTGACCTCTGCAAAAGAGTGATCCTAAAACCGTCACCAAAGAGACTCAGAGACCCAGAAGAAAAAATCTCAGCTTCAGCTGACTAAGTTACTGAATTGTGAGAAGAAGTTGCATAGCCAGCTGCCCCATACTGATCTGTACCTTCTTCAAACTCCATAGCTGGAAGCTCATTGAGGTCAAAGTTGAGAACTTTACGACCTGCGTTTTGGCTTGTTTCACCTGGTGAAGCTGCCTGACTGGACTGAAGTAGCAGCTGCTCAGTGGGCCCAGTCCAATGGCACCTTTTGTGACCCCCTAAGGCCTGACCTGTTGGAAAAATCTTGTCGCAGATTTTGCATTGGTGATGAGCTTGATGAGCTCCTAGTCCTCCTGCTCCTGAGCCAGAGCCAGCACCAGCCACATGATGATCTTGATCAAGTGCCATGGTTGTTTGTGCTTCATCAAGATTATGCCCACCTTCAGCAGCTGACACATCAGCAGAGGCAGATTGATCATCCAGAGATGAATGGTTCACGATGATGTTGTTGTTGTTGTTGTTCTTGAGCTTGTTATGGCTGGACATGTGGCCACCCAATGCTTGATGACTTGGGAAAGACTTGCCACAAAGACTGCATTTGTATCTGAGCTTCTGATGGAGACTTTGATGATGACCCTGAGCACCAATAATCTCTCCAACCACTCCTTCCAAGTCTACCAATTTCATCTTTCTCCTCTTCCTCCTCTTCATGCTGGCAAGCACAATGCTCTCAGAGTTCTGACTGTCTGATAATTCCTCTTCAATGTTGTTGTTCTTGTTGTCCTCCATTGGTCCCAACTTCAAGAAATTCTTCACTGATGACTTTTCTGGACCAAACCCAATTCCCACAACACCCTTCCCTTTCACACCATCATATTCATCAAACCATTTTTTCTCACTTTTCATGTTCTTGGATGGAAAGCACATCTCAGTTCCTTTTCTCTTCTTTGAGGTCCCCTCATAATCAATTACCTGGTTTTTGTCCTTGATGTAATCAGCCTGGTTGCTTTTGTTGGTGATGAAGAAATTGCTGTTAGTAGCCTCACACATCTCAGCTCCTTTTCCCTTATCTGACAATCCATAGAAGCGGGGATTGGATTGAGCTAGCATCAAAAGATCGTGAACAGCTTCCTCCATCTGCTCTTCAACTCCGAGACTCAAATCCAATCCCGAAACAGATTCAGAGTTGCCTGATGAGCCAATGCTTTTCCTACCTCTCCTAGCAGTGAGAGACCAACCAGGCAGAGTCTTGGACAGATCAGGAGCAGAATTATTGGACCCAACAGGAGTAGCAGCAGAGTCAATCTGATGATCATCAGCTTTATTGTTGTTCTGAGGCACAGCATCTGATAAAGTAGAAGACGAGCTGTTCTTGGCTATTGTTGGAGGAGGTTGAATTCCCCTCCATTCTCTCTCAGGATGTGATCTCATGTGCCCAAACAGAGACTTCATAGACGGAAAGTTCTTGCCGCAAACACAGCAATCAGGCTTCATGCTGCTATTGCTATTACCTTCAACCCCAAAACCCCCACCACCATTCGAGCTGCTAACATCAGAATTGTTGGGCTTCAGAATCTTGGTGGGTTTTTGAAACTTGTTCTTGCGAGCCTGAAACAGTTCTCTGTTTGCTTGAACATGCATTCTCATGTGACCTCCAAGTGCCTTACCTGAGCTAAACCCCTTGTTGCAGACCTCACAGATTCGAGTGAATTCAGGAGGAGCTGGGTATTTGCGTTCTTGGTCTAAAGGTTCTGGCTTTGGGAACTTGAGCTTGGCAAACAGTCCTCCATTGTTGCTCTCTGTCTCTTGGTTTGCTTTCTTGTTGGGTTGTTGTTCTTGATCGCCAGCTCGTGGCCGAAACCGAGTCTCTTGGTCTTCAATATCCATTGGAGAAAAAAACCCAGCTCAGAAAAAATTGTGTGTGAAACCGCAGCTACTGAGGATTATGAAGACCAAGCTCTCTCCTTTTTTTTTCTTTCTTTTTTTGGTGCGTGGGTGATAAGAAAAGAAAGAGAGAGAAGATATGGTGGGTAGGAGGAAGGAGGGAGCTAGAGCAAGAAGCACATATATGAGTACACAAACCCTACAAGGAGATAGAGATTATATGCATATAAAAGGGTAGCTTAGCTGAGAAGCAAATTAAGCATCTTTGATCATAATCTTGTTTAAGGTAATTATAGTCCTGAAAATCCTGACCTTCCTAAAATCAAGAACGCTAAGAGGGGAAAGAAAACAAGGAAACTCTGTGGCTTCCAGCTATTGATGTCATAGATTAGAGCTCAAAATAAGGCCCAAAGGAAACAGCTCAGGAAAGAAGCAGAGAAACCAAACCAACCCAGAAGAGCTATCAGAGATATTAAGAATGAGAGAGAGAGAGAGAGAGAGAGTGATGAGAGAGAGAGAGAGAGATAGAGAGACCAAAAGATAGGGGCTTTCCAAATTCTGCAGCAGTTGGCCAGGCCTTTGGTCTTTTAAGTCACCAGATTGTTATAGGATGACTTGATATTATTAATTTAATTAGCTTTATAATTAATATTATTATGTGTTTTTTAACTGCTCTTTTGTGAGTTTTGGTTAGTGGGAAATTGACTGTCCGGCCTGTAATTCCGTTCTTTCAGAAGCTCCAAATTCTCATAAAATTTTGAGTCACTGACTGAATGTGTGTGTGTGTGGGTGAGAGAGAGAGAGAGAGAGAGAGAGAGAGAGAGAGACAGTGCACATGAAAACCATAACCACTAAAACCAGCACAAATTAGAAGACTCGAAGACTTCAAGTCTCCAAACAAAACTAATTACTGTTTAGTGTGAAGTGTGCCACTCACTACGACTATTTAGGAGGCACTAAAACACTGACTATATAGTTTCTACCCACCACCAAACCTGCCCCAAAGATTAAGGCTTTTTAGAATTTATTTTCTTTTTTTTAAAATAAATTTTTTCTTTCCATTTTTGATTTTGCTTATTGAATTTGAGGTTTTCCTTGGAAGATACTCCAGGCCAAACAACCCGAAATCTCTCAAATTTTCACAAAATTTAGGCTTCAAAATCCAAAAATTATTATTATTTTCTTGTAATATTACCATTTGTAAGCACTAATTAATTAATTAATTAATTCTCTGATTTTTCTTTTTGGGATGAAATCGTTTTGGGATTTTCCTACCCTAACAAGGAGAGGGAGAAAGGGCAAGAAACCTTGCGCAGTGGGAAGTCTTTCTTGGGTTAGTTTCAAAATCCATGCTTATCGCCATCTCTTATTTTAATAAATGTCATTATTATCCCTTTTATAGTCTCTCTATAAGTAATTAGTAATCACCGGAGAAAATTTTGCAATTTATTTCCTCTATCTTTTTGTTTCCACGCTGTTTCTCAACCCTTTCAATGGCCTCCATGCACGTTTCCAATTTTACCCCTCAGTTTTAACTTTTAATCCCATGTTTATGGCAAGTTTTTTGTTTGGTCAATTTTAAGGCAAGTTAGACAAACCTATAACCAACAGGGTTTAGCCCAGTTGTAAAGGGCAAAGTTTTTGAGTTCAAATCTCCATGCCATCTTGATTGTGTGTATGTGAGAAACCCTCATTCTTCTGTAGTTTAGACCATCGCTTGTACTAAAAAAAATTATAAAAAGAACTAATCCTAAATGTATGTATGTGACTGAGTGGAATTTTACGAGCAATGATTTTAAAATTGGGTCACGTCCCTTGCTTATGCATTATCTAACCAATTAACAGCTCTTAAACTCTTTTATTTTGATAGAACAAAGTCTATTATATTGGTTTTGAATTTGATATTAAAAAAAAAAAGCGTGAAAGATATTGGTTGTGATAGAGAAAAGAATTCATTACTTTGGTACATAGGATTTTTTGTGTCAATGGTTTTCTTTTCTCTACAGCTCACAAAGTTTTATTTAAATCCTTGCATATCATTAAAATATTTCATGCTTACAAATTAAAAGATTACAAGCTAAGCTTGGCATATCTTTTCTTAATTTTGAGGGAGAAAATGTGTGAAGGAATTCATTACTTCGGATAAACTCTCGAGAAAATGAGAATTGATGGCTAACCATCATTCAAGAGTTTATCCAAACCAATGTAATGAATCATTTCACACATTTTCTCTATCAAAGCCAAAAAAGATATGCTAAGCTTGTAATCTATTAAATAATAATTACCTTTTATTTAGGCTTGAAAACTTTTATGACATGCACGATTTTCAAATTAGAACTTCAAGGGAAAAATAGGATACATGGACATGGTATGTTCTATGTTGGGAGGACAGGGCCATTTACAAAAATAGAACATACCATGGTATATTTAGTTACTTTCAACCATTATCTTCGTGACTCCATTCCGCATAATTAAGCGAAGTTTGTTTGCGATAAGAGAGTTTTGCTAATGCTAGTTACCCAAACAAGTATGAATAGAAACGAAGTTGAGAGGGATTCATAATAATTAATAACTATCAATCACTCACGTTCACACGAACCATAGACTCAAGTATTCTTCTAACAATAATTTGGTTCTTCCTTAGTAACATGATAAAAAATTTCTTTAAAATTGATGGGTTGATAATTTAGTACTTGTCATGTTCTAATTAGTTTTTTTTTTAAAAAAATTTATTTTTATGCTTAATTGGTTATTGGTTGATATTAGATGGATGGATTCATAATTTTCAAGGCTACAATATATTATCTCTGATCAGTGTTTTTTTCTTAATTAAAAAGGTTATTATCTCAGTTTTTGCTTATGTTAGACGGTTATGAGGAAATTTGAGAGCAAAAAGTTGAGTTTGGAGTTTCATAAACGCGTAATTAAATTAGTAATATTGTTTAAGGATCGACTCAACAACACTTTACGCCAATCAAAACTCAGTTTATGTTTCCCTGTTGGGCATAAAAATATATAATTTGTTTGAATATTATTAGAGTTCGGAAAAAAAGGTGTGATAGATGGATTAATTCCTTCTGCAAATAATCAAAATTCCATAACCAGGCAGCTTTCATGCTCAATCTTACAAGCTAGTCCATGTCAAATATGAAAATAATTATAAAGTCCCTTTCGTGGTAGGTAAATTAAGTGCTTGAGGTCATGCCAAATTGCCAATGTCTGCCCTTTTAAATAAAAACTATATCATAATTTTGTCTCTATCTTCCTCTAAAATAGGTGCTCATCGATGTTAAGCAGATGACTCATAAAAAGGCATTGCAAATCTTTTAATATTAATCCCAGTCGAAAATATTTGAGGAATATGCTACTCGATTTAAACAGACATAGTGTGTATCACAATTCCATATTCATTAGTATTTTTGTGTGCTTGTTCGGTGCATTGTGTCGAATTTTCGCACATAACGTAACATTGTAAAATTTGTCATAAATTGTGCATCTCATCTCGTACGCACTCTTGTGAGAGCTTGCTACATGATTGGCTACTTATGTTATCAATATATTGCTATAAATTAAAGTTATATCCTCGTATTGTGTCAATTTGTAAAAAGAGAAAATATAATTCTTATACCTAGTGTATTACGCAAAATTCAACACTAGAATAAGAGAACTTCTTATGAGACATAATATTGAAACATCATAGCATATTCAGCGAAGTCCCCATGCCAACCAAAGATGGCCTTTAATAACATTGAAACAGCATAGCATATTAGCATGGCATGGCAGCCTGGTTCTTCTGAGGGGAACTAAGGTAAATAAAATATGATATTTACCACGTCATATAAGGCCAAAAATATATGTTCGAATTTATTTCCTAAGCCAACAGTTTTCTTATTAGTGGATTACATAAAACAAGTTATGTGACAATGAGATTAAAGTTAGATAGAAATCCAAAATAATAAAAATAAAATTGAAGTAAAAAAATAATTTAGGATAATAAAATTGTAGTAAAAAATAAAAAAAATAATCCAAAACAATTGTAGCAAAGGCTTTGCAGGGATTTGCATTCAGCAGGTGTTGGAAACAGTGCACTGAATTGTATTTCCAACTCATATATTTGACTATCTCCTTTTGGCCCAAAATTCATAGGTTGACTTTCACTTTGATCACACACACAAGAGAGAGAAGTTGACTGTTTGAATTACTATTTTGCAACGGAATGTCAAGAAATATGAAGATTATTACTGTAATAAAGTTCTGCTAATCCAAAATGAAGGTAAATTCAACAGTTATGTTACAGAGCTGCCCCTTTCACCCCTTCCGCAATTATTCCGGACGAGCACACTGAGGGGTAACCTTAGTAAAGAAAAATGGAAACGGGAAAAAGGCGGTTAAACAGAGGGAGTAGCTACTACTACAACAACTACTACTACTTCAACAACAACAAGAGCACGCAAGGGAGGAAAATGACGCCTATGAAACAGGAGCCTATCTAACCGACAAGATGGAGGCTACTGTTGTGTTAAATTGCCGGAAGATTTATATTCCAGCATTTCGGTCCTGTATCTCTCCTTGTCCTGCATCCCTTTTTCCTGATATACCTGCATGGTAGCAATGGAGTGTTATGATGACTGCCCGAAGATTGAGCCGATAGACTCCAAGTTTATCATATGTCAAATTGGCTCAGTGAGGAAGTTAGAAAGGTTGAGAATCAAGGCAAAAGGAAATGAATATAGTCCAAACATGTGGAATTTCTCTTGAAACCTTAGATCAATACTTATGCATGTCACAAAATCATCCGGAACTCATGTATAAGAGAGTGAGTTCAAGGATGCAGCAGGTGTGACATTACTTTTGGGATGCTATCAGCTAAAAGAAACTAACAGGAAAATAACTGTGTCACCAATTCATCATACCTGTTTCTCAGCCTCTGTGAGATTGTTCCATAGAAACCCAATTTTCTTGCTGATGGCTCTCTCTTGTCCATAGTACAAAGGCTTTAATCT